CACCCAGGCGCCCCTTGAGCATCTTACTCTATTGAAATCATTTCTGCTCTCTATCTTTGCGTAAATATTGTTTGAACATTTTTAACTGTGTTTCATTGTAGAGAATGTTTCACATTCTAACTTCAATTCAGCCATTGTCAATGCTGTTCTAGGAACCAATCTAGGCAATACCAGAGATTTAAAACAAAACCATTATTTTCCTCAAAGGGTTGAAAACTCAGTAGGGATGAAAAGTCAAGTTCCCAAATGACAAAGCAGGATGAGGTAAATGACGAAAGAGAGGTGTAAACCAAATGCTGTCCTCGTTCAAAGGGGAAGATGGAATGACAGATTCTTGAGTGTTGTCCATATTTTTCAAAAGGAAAGGAGGAGATGGTATGAAAATAAAAAGGTAAACAAGTATTTTTTTTAATTTTATTTATTTATTTGACAGAGAGAAGACACAGCGAGAGAGGGAACACAAGCAGGGGTGAGTGGGAGAGGGAGAAGCAGGTTCCCCATTGAGCAGGGGGCCCGATGCGGGGCTCGATCCCAGGACCCCGGGACCATGACCTGAGCTGAAGGCAGACGCTTAATGACTGAGCCACCCAGGCGCCCCAAAAGGTAAACAAGTTTTACTGAGGGTTGCTGGAGTGGTGGGGGGTGGGAGGGATGGGGTGGCTGGGTGATAGACATTGGGGAGGGTATGTGCTATGGTGAGCACTGTGAATTGTGGAAAACTGATGAATCACAGACCTGTACCCCTGAAACAAATAATACATTGTATGTTAATTAAAAAAAAAAGGTAAACAAGTTTTAAAGGTCATGGTTTGGCGGCAAATGGTGAAGCAAAGGAGAAAAAGAAATATTTACCAACAAAAGTGACACGATTGAAGATTCTAGAAAAGGGGTAGTCAATGTGGACAGGCAAACTATGAGTTTTTAATTATTAGTTGGTCTTCAACACTTTCTTTCCTCACTAGGAAGAGCATTTGTTTATTCTTCAATTCACATATTCGTTCTTTCAATGAAAATATATGGACGGGTCTGCTAGGCTCTAGAGGTACAAAGGTGAGCAAAAGGAGAGTTGTTTGTGCCTCTCAAAACACGAGGATGCCATAACATATGTGTTCGGGTGTTGAGTGTATGTGTGCATTCGTATGTGTAAATATAAACCCAAATATCTGAATAAAAGTTAATCTGAAGACATTTATCTAGAAGTGCAGATCATTTAAGGGAAGAAAAAGAGGGATGAAGAGAGGGAGAGAAACTGGTAGAGGGAGAAGGCTGGGAGAGAGACAAGAAGTGTGTCCACCTGCAGAAGAGAAAGGAATCCATAGGCTACACTAAGAAAAAGAATTTGTCCTCTGCCGTTAGTAAAACTATTTCAGTAAGGACTCATGCTGTCAATTTCTAGGCAGAAATTTTACTTCTCGGTAAAAATGCAAAAAGTTAACGTGACCTTCTCAGCTGCTAGCTGGTTTGACCTGATCACATCGCTTTCAAAATTTAACAGTTGTCAGCAGAAAGATGAAGGAACATACCTGTTACTGAGGCTGGATTTTACGTAAGATGAAAACAAAGGCATGATTTTATCTTTTTAAAAAAGATTATTTATTTATTTGTCAGAGAGAGAGAGAGAGCACAAGCAGGTGGAGGGGCAGAGGCAGAGGGAGAAGCACGCTCCCCGCTGAGCAGGGAGCCCAACTCAGGACTCGATCCCAGGACCCTGGGATCATGACCTGAGCCGAAGGCAGACGCTTAACCGACTGAGCCACCCAGGCATCCTAAAGGCATGATTTTACATTAGAAAAAATAACATATGTAGTACAGAGACCTAAAGAAGTGCAGTGGGGAAAACACTATCCAATTGATTTAAGCATGCAAGAGTTTGGCTACACTCCATTTGATAAGGTGAATTCCCGACAGCCTATCTCGTTTTGTGGAGTGTCCGGATGAGGAAAGAATAAAATGAACAGGACAAGGTCTCTTCCTTAAGGGCCCTGTGAGTTTCATCGAATTTTAGGGAATACTATAGAGTTTACAAGTAAAATGAAAGCATTAACATAATCTATAAAAATTTATTCATTCTTACAGTTAAATGTTTTCATTTCTCTAAAGGGAGTCTTATGTAGAGTGGGATTTTACAATTAAGTACATGAAGGGAAGTAAGAATGATGTCTAATGATAGTAAAATATAACTCATCGTGGTTTATTATATATATTTTACTGAAAACTGTAATATGAAAAAGTAATATTTTTAAGAGGAAATTAACTCATCCATAATTAGCCTACTGTTTCCATTTTCCTACATTCCTTTTTGTTTTTTATTCATTATTTATACATTAAAAATCGTAAACACACAAAAGATGCATTGTTGCGTCCAGTTTTTTTTTCTCACTTAACATAATAGAGAAATTTCATGTTCTTAGGGTTGTTGCAATTATTATTTCCTGAGGTACATTTTATTCCCCTGGATTGACATGCCATCATTTACTTTATGTATTTATTCCAAGAAGGATTTTTTTTCACTACCATTCATTGAGCACTTGCAGGTGCCTGGTCCCGTGTGTGGCAGGAGGACAAAGGGATGAAGGGGTGCACAGCTAGTCCTTGGCCTTGGAGCAATGTGAGAACCCCACACAGAAGAGGAGCCATAGTGGTACCAAGGCAGTAACCCCGGGCTTCCCTGAGTCCTGACAGGTGAGTCAGATTTAAAGCTATAAAACACTATTTCTTCAACATTACCATTCTTTTCCTTTTAAAATTTTTTATTTATTTGAGAGAGAGATAGAGTGAGCGAGAGAGAGAGAGAGAGAGAACAAGGAGGAAGAAGGGGATGCGCAGGGAGCGGGATACGGGGCTCGATCCCAGGACCCCGGGATCATGACCTGAGCCAAAGGCAGACGCTCAACCGACGGAGCCACCCAGGTGCCTGGAACATTTTCAATACTATCAATAATATAAACAATAGCAAAATTTCCCCATACATTTCTGGTTATTTCTTTCTTTCTTTTTTTTTTTAAAGATTTTATTTATTTGACAGAGAGAGACACAGCGAGAGAGGGATCACAAGCAGGGGGAGTGGAAGAGGGAGAAGCAGGCTCCTGGCTGAGCAGGGAGCCCGATGTGGGACTCGATCCCAGGACCCCGGGATCATGACCTGAGCCAAAGGCAGACGCTCAACCGACAGAGCCACCCAGGCGCCCCAGCATTACCATTCTTAACATTCCTAACTACGGTATTTATAGCTCAGCAAATTGTGAAATGTTTCAAGCAGTAAAATAGTGACTATATTTAGTTCATTTATTAAAACTCAAAGCTAACTCTAGCTAGTTTACTTGGTGACATCATAAGGAATGAAGGGGTTATCAGAAAAAAACTATGTTAATCACATTTTTGTCATTGTAACAATTGAATTTCTGTTTACTTATGTCCCGAGAAGGGCACAGAAGTGGAAGTTCCCTCCAGACGAACAACCCAAGGGATCACAAATGGACAGAGGTTGTGTTTATACCTTCAGCTACAATGAAAAGATTCAAAACATAAGGTTTCCTATACTCAAAGTGGGGGGTGTGGACCAGCAGCATCAGCAGCCCCTGGGAGCTGTGAGTACTGTAGAATCCCGGGCTTCACCAAGCCCAGCAGAATCTGAACCCCTGAACCCGCATTTGTACATGATCCCCAGGGGCCTTGTGTGCACATTCAAAATTGAGAAGCAGTGCCAACTTTGCGTCGATTGCAGGCCATGGTGCCTGTCAATCCATGTGACAATGGAAACAACAACCTAGGATTCTCCTTGAAGCCTGAAGCTCAGTAATAGCCCATCTTTCACACTGTATTTGCTTGCTATCCATTGGAAGAGCAATTTCGTGTCCTGTGGACCATCACTGAACTTGTGGCCAGGGGCCATTTCAAGTAATGGCCATTTTACCAGCATTTTAAGACAGATTCAAATAATGGAAATGTAATTACTAACATCATGGAATAGAGAAAACTATTTCTCTTCACCATCAGCCTATTAGCCTCTGAGTTTTCCCTTTTGATGAGAAATGAAGAAGCAGGGAAAAGCCCCTGATAGTCAACTGAAGCTGCCAAAAGTCAGGACCTTATTGTGGCTAATTATTAGTGATATTCTTCACTACACAATGATCTTTTAGTTACCTTCACTTTTGACAAACTCATACAGGAGAAAATTGAATCTGGGGGGCTGGAGAGAAGGAGATATGGTATATGGGATGGTGTTAACTGGCCAGGAGCTGCAAGAGGGAGATGCACCAGGGGAGATCGCCTCTACGGGCTGGGATGAAATCTCCATGCTTCAAATGTAAGAAAATTTAGGGGGCTCACCAGTCATGAAAAGCATTGTCTCTGATGGAGGCTCAGATGCACCGGGTCTTCAAAAACCCACTTCCTCCCTGGCAGCACACATCATACAATAGAATATTCATTGTTCACACAAAACCATATGCTACATTGTCACAAATCCCATCATTCAATATTTAAAGCTGCAGTGGGTCCCCTGACACCTTCTCTCAGAATCCTGGGGATGGCATGCGAAGTATAATGACAAGACTTGAATATCTACTATTTCTTTTACTACTCTTTCCAATATTTTTTAAGGCTTATGTTTCAATAGAAGTGAAATTATATAAAATATTTCACACAGAAGCAATCCAGAGACTTCTGATTTAAAATTGTGTCTGGTTCATACTTATGACATGACCTTTCCAAATTCACACAATGATAATGATGAAGACACTAAGACAGTGAAAATTCAGAGAAGCGCAACACAAGCAAACGGCTAATTGCAGGATCTGGAAGAAATCATCACTGATGTAACAAAAGGTGCGATAAGTACCCACTTGTGCTTTGTCATTTGGAAACCAAGCAAAACTGCAATTCTGTATCTAGGTACCTAGATGCCCCCTCTGCCCATCATTTCAGTATCTCATTATGTGCTGTTGTGACCAGGAATGCAAGATTCAGAGCAACTCCGCTCTTTCAGGCAGCCAACGTACCACATCAGCTTTGCTTCCATAAGGAAGTTTTCCTACCTCCTTTCCAACTGTCATGTCCAGAAAATGACCGGGATTGTAGTATGAGTGGTCTGATGAAGGTCTCTTGAATCTTTTGCTCTGATTCTGAGATGGATATGGGCACACACGTAATGCATTAATCTGCTATAGACAGAAGGAGAACACTGTAGACAGAAGGACAAGCCGTTGAAGCAGTGCATGCTGGGGAACGCAGCTTTCCTACATGGATTGCCAGACAACTGGCAGCCAACAGCCCGTCTGCCTGCAAAAAATTCAGTCTGAAGGGATGCCTCAACTCCGAGAAACATGTATTCAAATAAAAATTAGTATTTTGTACTGCTCAAATTGTCAAAACATTTAAAGATTGAGAATATTCAGTACTGGTGGTGGTGTGAATAGTTATGCATATTTATATATTTTTGAAGTAACTCATACTGCCTTTTTGGAAAGCAAGTGGGCCTTCCAATAATATTAAATATTTATATGTCCTTTGGTAGAATAATCCTACTTTTAGAACTCTATCTGACTAAAAGACTATTTTGTACACATATGAAAAGTGGTTTGTGTGCAGATTACATACAACAGTGTTGTATATAATAGTAAGAAACTATTGCGGTGCCTGGGTGGCTCAGTCACTTAAGCTTCCAACTCTTTTTTTTTTAAAGTATAGTTTCTATTTTTTAAAATTTTTTATTGTTATGTTAATCACCATACATTACATCATTAGTTTTTGATGTAGTGTTCCATGATTCATTGCTTGTGCATAACACCCAGTGCTCCAAAGCATCCAACTCTTGATTTCAGCTCAGGTCATGACCTCAGGAGTCCTGGGATGGAGCCCCAAGGCAGGCTTTACACCAGAGTCAGCTTCAGGATTCTCTCTCTTCCTCTGCCCTTCCCGCTCTTGTTTGTGCTCACTCCCTCTCTTTTTCTCTCTCTCTAAAATAAATAAATAAATAAATCTTTAAAAAATATAGATAATAGAGTGTTATGGAACAAATAATTAGAATTCCTTTTTAGCCCTATTTTTCTCCAAAATTCTTCAAGGTTAATCTTCTTTAAAGTTTGTTGTGTATTTTCCCGGATCTTTCTATGCATTAAGCTATTTACAACATTTATATAAAGCACATTTCCTAAGATCCAAAGATACCAACATAAATAGGTATATATATCAGCCTTTAATATTTTTTAATTAAAGGGGTGCCTGGGTGGCTCAGCCGTTAAGCGTCTGCCTTTGGCTCAGGTCATGATCCCAGAGTCCTGGGATCAAGTCCCGCATCGGGCTCCCTGCTCCGTGGGAAGCCTGCTTCTCCCTCTCCCACTCTCCCTGCTTGTGTTCCCTCTCTTGCTGTGTCTCTCTCTGTCAAATAAATAAATAAAATCTTAAAAAAAAATTTCTTAATTAAATAAAATTACAACACACATACTATTCCACAGCTTGCTTTTTTTAAATTTGGTCATTTACAATAAGCACATCTTCTATTTTGGTGAATATAAATTTATCTTTTTAATGACCTCATGGGCATGATATACAATAATTTATGTAAAAAAAACCCCAATTGACAAATACTTAATGTTGTTTACAGTTTCTTTTTTTTTGAGGGGGGAAGGGCAGAGAGAGAAGGAGAATCTAAGGAGGCTCCATACCCAGTGTGGATGAAGAGTTGGCCGCTTAACAGACTGAGCCACTCAGTTGTCCCTCTGTCATTTATATTTTTAAATGAGCATTTTTTACTTTTGTAATTACATTTATTTTTTTAATGAGGCCTTGGAGAACTATATAAGTATAAAGTTTTAACATGGTTTTATCTGACTAGTCAGATTCTGGATTTAAATTTCTTACGTGTTTCTGTATTTTCTAAATATTTTACAGTGAACACATACTATTACTGAAATCACAAAGATTATTATCTTTTATTTATTTTTATTTATTTTTTAAAGATTTTATTTATTTATTTGTCCAAGAGAGAGTACACAAGCAGGGGGAGGGGCAGGCAGAGGGAGAAGCAGGCTCCCCACTCAGCAAGGAGTCCGCGGGACTCTATCCCAGGACCCCGGGATCATGACCTGAGCCAGAGGTAGATGCTTACCCGACTGAGCCACCCAGGAGTCCCAGATTATTATCTTGTAAATTTAGTATGTCAATGTTGTTTCTATCACCGTAGTAAAGAAGAAAAAATAACTTGAAAAAAAAGCACAAAAATATTAACAGTAATTTCCTTTGGTTAGTGACATTCCAGATATTTTTTTAAATTTCACTGCACTTTAAAAATTGTCTAAATGCAAGACCTTTGCACCAATAGAAAAATAAAAACAAAAAGATAAATGAGAACCTTCCAAATCCTGGGAGATACAGGCCAAAACAGTTACATACTGCGAAACACCTAAAATAGAAGGTATGTCAAAACGGGAAAGGAATTAAATTCAGGAAACCAGTTTGAGGTTTCCAGTTTCCTAGGTACCAAAGACATTCCATATTGGCAAAGATTTAGCCAAACTATCCAACTGATAGGCTTAAATAAAGCGGATAAGGATTAGCATTTTCTCTGGGTGCTAAAAGTATGGTGCTCATGAACTACCACATTCTAGACCAATGTGATAGACATTTGGGGGCATTTGTAGGCACCCATACTCAAATCCCTTCTGTGATTCCACTAATTCCAATAGGGTTCTACAATGTGGTTGACAGTCTCCTATGGGGCCCTCACAGGGGCCACATCAAAGCTACTGAGACACATAGTCAGCGCCATCACTGAACCAATATTTATATAGAAACTGAAGGCATGAGCCTGTAGAGTGAAGTTTTTATGAAGTTCTTTACATGTGCCTTCTGGAAGGAGCATAGAAGGAAAATGAGTGATCTCTCAATTCTCTCCAGACTCTAAATGGGGCATCTAAGAGTAGGGTGACCCAAAGGAAGGCTTGGAGCCTGGAATGCTGGGAAAAACCACCAGGTGACAAACTGGTCCAGAAAAATGAGATGAGTGGAACTGGGTGTGTCACCAGCAGTCTCAAGCAACGGGGTGGTTTGCCTACAGAAGGAAGGAAGTTGATAGCCATAGCCACGCATAAACAACTTATTCTCTAATGGGTGTCTTTGCTGAAAAGATCACCCCTTCAAGTAGAAGTCAACTTCCAGACAGACTGTGAATGTTGAGAAAAATAATTTGCATGTTTAACAACACACGGAATAGTATATAAAATAGCTGAGGTGTATAACATGTAGTGAAAATAAACAGAAAAGCCAAGGAGAGAGAAGGGCACATAAGGAATATTGAACTGTGCATTGAGGGTTCCTTCTAAAGTGTGGTAGTGGGTATAGGGGTATGCACAACATAACACATAACACACAACATGACATATCTTTAACACAAAAGACATCAAAAAATTTTTAAAAAACAACTGAGAAAAGACTATGCAGAGGGGAGAAATTTCTACAACAACAATTTGGAATAGCCCCAAACCTATCATTTATATTCTTAGACATACAGAAGATCACATTTATAAAGTAAGAATAGGATGCTATAGGAAGAAACACTCTTAACATAAAAAAGAAAGTTTGGAAATTTAAAAATATAGCAGTAATAGAAAACTTGTTAAGGAAGATAAATTTGAAAAATATCTGAGAAAATAGAATTAAATATAGGAAAATGGAAGAAAAAGAATGAGAGATACAATACCTAAAAAATAAGAGTTCCCAAAGAAACAACAGAGAAAACAAAGTAATTTAATAAAATTTCTCAGGGCTCAAAAATAAAAATTTCTAGATAAACAATCTTCCTCCCCAACCAAGGGCCCTGCAAAATGGATGGAAATTACCCTAACAAGCTATATCATGGTGACATTTCACGACATTGGCTACAGAAAAAGGTTTTATTCTTCATTTTCTTTTTTTTCCTTTTTTTTGGGGGTGTGTGTGGGTTATAAACACATGCAAAGGATTTAGAATCACAATGGCATTGGCCTTCAGCTTCATTCCTGTTGTTGCAGATGGCAAGAATTCCTTCTTTTTAAAGGCTGGATAGTACTACATCATACATATATCACTTTCTCTTTCTTCATTCACCCATTGAGAGACACTTAGGTAGTTTCCATTTACCTTGGATATTGTGAATAATGTTGTTATATACATGGGAGTACCTCAAAATTAAATTATTTTAATAATTTAAATAATTTAAAATAAAATTTAAAATAAAAATGCCCCCAAATGTCTATCACATTGGTGTAGAATGTGGTAGTTCATGAGCACCATACGTTTAGCACCCAGAGAAAATGCTAATCCTTATCTGCTTTATTTAAGCCTATCAGTTGGATAGTTTGGCTAAATCTTTGCCAATATGGAACGTCTCTGGTACATAGGAAACTGGAAACCTCAAACTGGTTTCCTGAATTTTGCTTTGAGATTCTGAGTTTCATTTTCGATGGATATATACATAGAAGTGGGATTGTTCGATCATAAGGTAGTTCTGTATTTAATTTTTTTGAAGAGACTCTATACTGTTTTTCCATAATGGCTGTACCAATTTCTGTACTGTACACTTGAAATTTGCTAAGATGGTAGATCTTAAGTGTTCTTACCACACACACACACACACACACACACACACACATGCACACACACATACACACAAGGTAACTATGTGAGGTGATGAATGTGTTGATTAGCTTAATTGTGATTATTTCACAATGTATACAATATATTAAAACATCAAGTTGTATGCCTTAAATATATACAATTTTTATGTCAATTATACTTCGATAAAGAATAAAAACAGCATTGCACTTCTTGATTCAACACAGGAAGCTGGAGAACAATGGACTAATGCCTTCAAAATTTGTAGGGAAAATAATTTGGAACCCAGAATTCTATACCTATTGAAAATCTTCCTTAGGCAGGAGTTCTTTGGCTTTTTAATTTTTTAAGCAGGCTCCACACCCAACGTGGGGCTTGAACTCATGACCTGGAGATAAAGAGTTGCATGTTCTACTGACTGAGCCAGCCAGGTGCCCCCCTATTCAAACTCTTAACTGAATGTTAGCATGGAATAAAATATCTTTATAAAGTCTTTAAAAATTTACTTCCTTCACTGTGTTTCTCAGGAATCTACTGGAAAGAGTACTGTAACATAATAAAGAGTAAATAAAAACGTAACACATATTTAGACAATAGGAGATTCTATACAGAAAACAGACCAAAAAAAAAAAAATCACAAACATCCAAAATGATGGTTGAGGGGGTTCTTCAGATGACAGCTGAAGAGCAAGCCCAGAAAAGACCCAAGCTGGAGGGTTATGAGGGAGATGTCTTTGAGAAGATAAAACTGATAGAATAACCAATGTGCTTGAACATACTGACACACTTACATTATGGAGGAGAGTTGGGAGTTAACAAGAGAGAGATATATGAAAAATTTGTATCCAAAAAATAAGATTATAAGAATGAAAATCTAACTGTAGAAACTACATGGCTCAGTTATGAATAGTGCTTATATAATCATGTTAATACTGAATACTGATCTATCCAAAAATTATGATTTATTTATACTGGCTAAGTGGTAGGAGAAAATTATGGGGATGGGAAGGGTTGAGAGTTGTGGGGAATAAAGGAAAAGTGCAAAATCCCCTTCTTTCATCATGAACATTTAATCGCTAATTGCATAAAGCTAAAAAGTCAGGAAGAAGCAGCTTATACACATTATTGAGTGATTTGGAGGTAAAGACCAAAGAAATAACTGGAAAAGTTTTAAACTGTTTCCTTTTGAGAGCAGGAATTAGGAAGGGGGGGCAGGCAAGAGGTGGATACTTTTCATAACAGTTGAAGTAGTTGATTGTTAAATTACAGAATATAAATTCGATAAAGATTTAAAATAATAAAATACCATAATATCGGGAAAGAATGTTATGTTCTTGACTGAAAGCTGACACATTTAGTGACACAAAATGAAGCAATGCACAGACCATTTGTTGTGAATATGATATTGGCAGAAATATACAACACACACTAGAATGTTTACCTTAGAGAGAAGTGGAAAAAATGTACCCAAGTTGTTCGATGTCTTTGTATGACTGATCGAAAGAAGCTCTTTGAATCTTTTTAAGGTCTGGACACAGTACATCTCTAATTTTGGTGATTTGTAGGAAGAGTCTATGGCAATTGGCCAATTTCCTACTGCCCTAAAGTTGAAATAAGTTCCTACACTTGTTTTCTGCTAGTTTTACAACTGACTTTTCAGATGTTCCAGGCAAAGCCTTTCGCTTCCCTTCAGTGTTTTGGAACTCTACTACTCCACTGAGTTATCATTCCAGGAATTAATTCTTCATGGTGCCACATCTGTATAGTGATGTTGCTTGTTTTATGCTCAACTTCAAAAGGAATACATGATTGATTCAGATAGTTCCAGAAGCAATGTAAGAATAACACACACATTTCAGAGCACAGACCCAGGAATCATGGGTAGAGATTATCAAACTTGAAACTAGGAGGAGCTGGGGCCCTACTAATAGCATTTATTCATTTGCCAAACATCCACTGAATGCCTCTCGTGAGCCCCTCACTGTTCTGTGTACCTGGAGGATAGAAGAAAGTGAGAGTAGGTAAACAAACAAACATTTAATATGTACAAAATGAAAGAGGGTAAGGGGATAAAGAGCTAAGGGAGATGCTAGTGTTCATTGCATCACCTGCTTGAATGAACTTGTATCCATTTAATTTCTCAAAATTACTATAGATAGAGAGAGCCACTAGGGTTCAAGGTAATAGGAAAAACTAGGAAAAGTACTACGTAACGTAGAGGAACATATTGATGGCACAAGAATACAAAAGTCTATGGTACATTCAACTTAGACTGCTAAGGCTGAAATCAGATTTAGCGTTATGGGATACTGAAATGTATCACAAGTAGAAAAATCTTTGTAATTCCAAAGAGAATCAGTTTTGTGGCTGAAATTAACTATTGTAAATTTTATGGTGGTCGACACTCTGAAACCATTTTCTTTTGGAACTGTGTTCTAAGATGCATTTTGTGATGAAAAAAAAAAAAAGAGGACAACTCTAAAGCTACTTCATAATAAGCACTACCTTTCCAAATGACATGTTTAGAGAATAAGCCAGACCTACAATTTTCCACAGTTCCTCAGGGCCCTGTTTTCTTTCCCTTTCTCCCTGTGCTCAGATGCTTTCTGTCAGGGGAAGCAGCTCCTGGTAGAGACTCAGGACTTGGGGAGACTGGGCTGTAATCACTGTTGCCATCACTATGGAGGCACAGCACAAAGATGTCACAGCTCTGTCCTTGAACTTAGCTTCTCCGAGGTTGTGTCAAAAAGTAAAAATTGTCCTGCCCAAGTTTCTGCAAATGCAGTGTTGAGCAGGAGTACCTTTCAAAAGCAACCTGATCAAATTGGCCCAGAAGGCAGAAATCAACTTTTCAAGTCACCAGCTCTACTTTGTACATGACTTTGCACGTTTTCAAACAAGGTTTATTTTCTGAAATTCCTAAAAATAAGTCACAACTGGTCTCTATAAAACTACACATTAATGCTCAAAGGAACTACTAATTGAGAACTGATGGATGAAAAACACGAAGACAGAAGAGGATATTGCTAGATACAACAAGATGCAATTAGGGGTAATAAAGTCAAATGAAGAAAAGGAGAATCTTCCTGGGAGGTGAGGCTGGAGAAGAATTTCTTTCTAATTAAAGCCATTTTATCACTTGTGGCACCTTAAGTGATGCTGGGCGACTTACAGCAGCGGCAGCACCAAGGCGGAGATGTTTTAGAATCCCAAAAACTGTGACTGGCTTCTCTTCCATCCCCATAAACAAGAGTAGAAGAATATATATAAAATATAAAGGCATCTTCTTAAAAACTTTGCCAGTACACCCTGGGTGACATGGCTGTATTTACTTGACAAACACGGCTTCAGAACAAATTCCTTATTTCTTCCAACCAGCCTGTCGTCCCAGAGTTCCACCTATAAATAGATTCTGGAGAAGGCTCTGCTTGGTTAAAACAACGAATTCCATAATGAGTTCTTTCTAAGTCTGATTGTCAGGATATGTTAACATTTGTCCTCATTTTAAATGTGCCCTACCCAGAGCTTATCCCAAAGTAAAGGCACAAGGTGACTCTTGCTCTTTTCTGTCTCTTTCCTGCAGTATTCCACAGTACTTCTCCCAGAAATCACCCTTAGAGTATATGTTGCCATGTTTGCATGTCCTTGCTCCCTAACGAGACGGGCCTCAGTTACGATGATTACTGCTGTCTTCAGAATCTTTGCTCTCTCCCGACAGTGAGGCAGAGCTCAGCAATACTGAGCTAACAAATCACAGTTCTCCCTCCACGAGTGTCAGGAACGTTGTGGGAATGTAGGTTGAGGAGGGCTTGTACTGTATATAAAATGCCTTTAAGTTTGGGAAAAATGAATGAAGGTTTACTGCCAGTGTTCCAATATAATTTAAGAGAATCAAGGCACGCAGCCTCTCTAAATTCTGTTTCAGTTGTTGAAAGAATTTAATTCAGACAACAAGAAAGAAATAGCTACTGTTTCAAGAAGGTTTTACAGGTTCTTCCAGAGACAGATTCAAGGCCATAGAACCTGTTCCTGTCATGTATCTTCAGGCCTTCTTAAATGTGTCCACGGATCCACCATGTGGAAAATCCGGGAAACGTGCACTGCTGTTTTACTGGTCCCTTTATCCAATTTCTACAGAGAATATACTAAAAGCAAATGCAATTCAACAAGTCCAATGGATTAAGTTCTATCTCCCGTGGAGAGAAAGGACATACATAAGTATCATTGTTAAATTAATGCCTGACATGCACATAATAGGTGTTTAATAACTGTTCTATATGCTTACGCCTTAAGCAAAATTTTTTCCAGATGGGCGCCTGGGTGGCTCAGTTGGTTGGGCATCTGCCTTCGGCTCAGGTCATGATCCCGGAGTCCTGGGATCGAGTCCCACATCGGGCTCCCTGCTCAGCGGGGAGCCTGCTTCTCCCTCTGACCCTTTCCCCTCTCATGCTGTTTCTCTCTCTCTCTCTCAAATAAATAAATAAAATCTTTAAAAAAAAAAAAATTTTTTTCCAGATGTAATAGAGAAAGCAAGTGGGTCATGCCACCCTTCTCTTCTTCAGCTAGAAGCCTGGCATCATGGGAGTTTGTAGCCTTGCTTTCTGAAGGCATTAGCAGGATAAATTTATTTTTAAATGAATTTCACTCTTAAAAATGTTATAATCATTCTTCATCCATGTTCCAAAAGGCTCCACTTATAATAATGTTCAAATGTTCAAAAAATACTTAGGACCATTTCTTTGAAATTTAAAAAAAATTTAATGCATCTCCAAGGGAAATTAAAGATTTTATATATACATAATATGTATGTGTTTGTCTCTTTATATGTATGTGTGTGTCTATTTATATATGTATACACATATGACATAGATCATATATGTGTGTGTGTCTATTTATATATGTACACACATTTTATATGACATAGATCATATGACATATATTTGTATATGACTGACACAGGGCATGTACCATGGCATATGCTGCTAGTAAGATGAACAGTATAAGTTGAACAATATATGGATTCAACTCAGCGCTCATCTGTTAGCTCTATCAATTTTGGATGCAAAAAGGAATCACTTAGTGTTGAACCGAATGGTGGTAATGAGTCCATAAAGACAGTCCAATTCCAAGTTTTATAAATAATGCTACTCTCATAAACAAAGCATGCACACAAATCGGTTTGAATTCCAATATCCATCTGCAGTGGGTAGAGTGTTATTTGTCTAGCTCTGTTTCACAAGAAGCTGCTTAGGAACACTTCCTTTGGGACCAACCACGGAAAATCAGAAAATACACAAAGAAGAAAAACAGTAAATGGAACGTGATCCCATTTTTGCCTTGCAGAAAGAAGTTTTTGTTTTTGTTTTTGTTTTTTTCTGGCAGGAAGTGGCAGTCATGTGGAAAGGTAGAGGTATTTGTTAGACCAGTGGTTCTCAAAGTGTTGTCCAGAAGCAGCATCATCAACAAATATAAATTCTTCTAAATTGTTAGAAATGGAAATGCCTGGGCCCAACCCCGATCTACAGAAGAGAATCCTGGGGTGGGGCCCTGCACTCTGTTTTTGCAAGCCCTCCAGGTAATTCCAACACATGCTACAGTATAAAAACCACTGTTAGGTTATCAATGATAAGAAACAGCCAATGACTTTTAAAGTTCACATATGAGACTTATCCCATGTTGTTTTTGTGGGGGGAAAGATATATGTATATAATTGTGATCAAAGTTACATAATTTCCCACTACAAAGAAGTGTGGGTGGGTGGGACTTCATAACTCAGCAATATCTTCACTGCAAAAGAGCAATTATACTACAGAGTCAGCCCAGAGGGGGAACTGTTCTATCTATTAGCATCCCTTTTGGCTATTACGTATTTCCTTCAGACCAGTTTAGATGTTCTATGTCACCTCACCTGGTTCTCACAAATCTTCAAAGGAAGCAGCTCAACTCTTCCCAAAAACGTGGCTGCTCTCCAGCTCAGAGCTAGCCTTCCTGTGCACACTGATTAGGACACATGCATTGGAACCAGCCTACTGAGGCAAAGAGCTTTCATTTCATGACCAAAATGCTTAATAAAGAATGGCAGATCTAAGGCAAGAAAATCATCAGAGAGTACAGAGAGCCTCAGAAAACTCAGTAGCTAGGCAAAAGCTCAGCTCATCCTTCCCGTTTTCATGAAGTTGCCATGGTGATGATGATGATGCACCTTGAAGACTGGGGCAATCACTACCTGGGACTCTCGGGGCCCTCTGTGGACCCCACATTCTCCAGTGGGCTTCAGTTTTCAATTTCAGTCTTCTGCCTTTCTTTCATGTCTGACAGTTTGCAAGTTTGGATGATACTACAGAATAACTATTATTGCAACTTTGTTTTCCATAAATGCATGGTGGAGAACTTCTATTTACTCAGAGCCTGGAGAGAAAAACTTTAAAAATCCAGGCACAATTACCATTCCTGTGAATATATGAACTACCAATTTATATATATTGACTTTTCCTCTCTATATAACTAATGATCAAGCTCTCAAGGAAGAGGGAGAACAATTTTAAAAGTTTAAGAAGCTTCTAAAAACCATCTACAAAGGAAAGAAGAAGCAGAAGTAAGGGGGAGACCTTTACTGGGGTTTCAAAGTGAACTGTCTCCCAAATGTAATTCATGTTCCTTCCGCAAAGAAGGAACTGTTTCTCCCAGTCCAAGCATCCTGAAATGCTGATTTCTGAGGTAGGATTGAATGATGACCACATAAGGGCCCTCCAGCCACGGGACTAGGTGATTCCAAGCCACATTTAGAATAGAATTCTTTTGGTGTCACCATGTAGACTCCGAATCTAATTGCTCCACATTTTTCCATTGCAGTTGGGTTATACTGCAAGATAATCTCTTGGAAGGTATCAAATGTTAATAGCTTTTGTCACTACTAGCTAAAATTCCATCCTTTTACATTTTTTCCCTTGAGACAATAACACTTTAACAGAGTACTTCCTTAAGTCATATTTTCAGTGAGGCTTCTCCTAATCAAACTATAAATTACAACTACCTTCCTATTTCTCTGTTTTCTTGTTTTCTTTTCCTCTAGGGCACATGTCATCATTCCAAAGTTATATATTTTTGTGTGTTTATTTAATTTTTTTTCTGTTTGTCCCCACTAGAATGTCAGGGATTTTTGCTTGGCCAACTGTGTATCCACAGTGTCTAAAGAAGTGAGCGACACAAGGAAAACAATGAAGGATCTGTTGAATGAATGAATACATGAATATTCCAGGACCTAACATCTTCTAGATCCAAAATGTTGAGGCACCAATGCTGGAATGTAAGCATCAAAGCCAACACTGTTACGGGATGTGGAGCAAAATTTTTCACACATACCCTCAAACTCACTACCTCAATCAATTTATAAACTCTATGTAGAATGAGGAGAAGTCTCCAGAAGGTTCTAGGGAGAGCTACCACTAATGTAGTGTTAGGCTACATTAATAAACTTTCTCATGGAGTGGAATTGAAAGGCAGAGCCAAATCACAAAGTGACTGAAATCATACTGACTTCTAATCAGACTTACCTACAAAAATACTTCCAATATGGTATTCTTCCAGAGACTGCTGAAATGCTGACACACACAAACATAGGACAAAGCTATGTATCATTACAAAACAAATGCAAAATGCTGAACCTGTCTTCCAGGGACACTAATTCTTAAAGAGATTAGCTTCCCAGCTCTATGAATACATGGATAATTATAGCATCATGTTTATTATGCTGTCGCTAGCAATGCACACGTCCATTATAATGCAGTTTTCCTCTCCCCGTTGGGGATACAGTACAAATATAGATGTTATATATTTTGGATTGGCTCATGAAGGCATGAAGCCTCAGTATGGGGGAGTGAGTAGGGTATGCGTGGTGGAACCAGATCACAGCCTTGGCATGGGTAAGTCTTTGTCTCTCTGCCAAGGGCTCGATGGTGTCTCCTGGCATCATGAGGCAACCTTAACCTTCAGTTAACAGTCACAATCAATGTGATGACATGGTACATTCTAGACGATCATCTCATTTCTCACGGATGTCACTGAGAAACAATAGTTTAATAGAGGCCCCGGCCAAGCTGAGCTGTGCTCAAGAAAGAAAGCGTCAGACTGGGAGCTTTAACCCAAGAACAGATGCCAAAGTTAGTCGAAAGAACGGGTCCATTGGGGCTCACAAGGAGATTCTAAATAACAACGTGCTTTCCCAGACACACAGAGGTG